AGCAACGCACGGCCGGGCGTGCAGCGATTTCCTCCGGGGTGCTACTGCCACCAACGCACGGAGGTACGCACGGGCAACGCACGGCCGGGCGTGCAGCGATTTGCTCCGGGGTGCTACTGCCACCAACGCACGGAGGTACGCACGGACAACGCACGGCCGTGCGTGCAGCCCAGCCTGTAGTGCGTTGGCAGAAATCAGCCCGATTTCGCCCAATTTCGCCCAATTTCGCTCCGTTTGATCCCGGGGTGGCCCGAACTCAACCCCCAACGGTGTATATGATCAAAATAAGCCTAGAAATACATGGAAATAAGTGTATTACCTGCGACGGAGTCTAGGTTTGCCCGCGCATCCGCCTCGGTCATCGCGTAGTCTCGTGCTTGGGCCCCGCCTTGATTGACGGACGTAGCGTTGCTCGCCGTTGGTTCCGTATGGTTTCCTTCCACGGTGAGCCCTTCCTTGGCTTGCGATGTCTCTCGTTGCCTCCTCCATGGGCAACTTAATTTCATGTGGGTTGTGCTCCCACATTCGTAGCACATCGGGGGCTCGTTGCACTTTCCGAAATGTTTCTTAGAGCAATTCGAACATTTGGATGGTCTGAAAGAGTAAGGAAAGGACGTATGCCACCTTGAGGTCCTTTTCTTTTTCACCGGTGATGCCGGTGCCGTAAGAGTGCTTTCTCCTCCTTGGTCGTTTGCCCAAGGATGGGTTTGGCTGACAGTCATATCACGTTGGGAGGTGGCCCGATCTCGCCTCGCCTGACGCCTACGTTCGTTCCTCCTGGTGTTCATGTTACACATCGAGCCCACTTGATTAGCGCTTGCCGCTTGGCGGCCCTCACGGCCCCCATGCCCTATTCCTCTCCCCGTAAAGGCTCGTGACACAGCCCGGCTAGCCTCAAGGTAAGCTACCGACGCTTGTCCCTTAGGGTCATTCCTTGTTGCCATTCGCTTACCCTCCATTTCTGAAACGGAATTTGGACGAGTCTTTAAACTCCTATGAATGTCAATTAACGGAAAAACGTTATAGACACGTATTGACCCAAGTCACCACCATACCAATTGTTAAGGGTACCGTCTTAACAATTAGAGGCCTTGCAACTTAAGCACCAATAGTCCTATAAACGTCAAAATACAATGCTCATGGTTTTCGGTAAAAACTCTTTTGTAAAATCTTTTGTGAGAGGTTGATTATATAGTTTAGAACTGAGATGGCTCTGATACCACTTAATTGTCACGCCCCAGACCGCAATCCAAGCGCGTGTACAACCGCCGTGAAATCAAGTGATGTCACCCGCGAGTCAACCTCACTTGATTACACAAGGCGTTCGAGAAAAATAATCCATCCATACTCAGTAGTAAACATACATAACAACATCACATTTAAACCAATGAATAGCGGAAATATTCAACGGTAAGTCATAAGCCACAACCGGCCAATAACATGGGCATGCAAGCCCCAAAAGAATAGTTTATAACAAATAAAAATATCCATGAGCAATGTTTGGTAATTTGAAATAAAATGAGGAAGCACGAATCACGTCTTCCTTGATTTGATGTCACCCGTAGGAAGGTGCAGGTAGCAAGCCCTAGATTCAACCTGAGAATGGTGGGGCCCCCCGAAGGGGTCAGTACAAGTACCGAGCGAGTAGCAGGCTAAATATAGAATAACTAGCGTTTCAAGTATAAGACCCAAACATAGGATGATACATATACGTATAGTCCTTCCCCCAAGTTTGAAATACATATTAGTATACATACACTTGGAAATACCCGACCCGTAGGTCATTGTTTATTTGGGAAAATAATAGTAGCCAATATCCTTGACTTAAATCCCAACCCACCCATATACCTATGAGTGTATAGAACTCCTCCTTGTTCAAATAAATTATCATAAGGACACCGTCCGGTCCTAGATCATTAAATGTAGCCTATGAGTTTTGAGGATACACGCCCGATCCTTGGGTACTCCACCCTATAACCGAGTTTTGAGGATAACCGCCCGATCCTTGGGTACTCCACCCTATATAACCGAGTTTTGAGGATAACCGCCCGATCCTTGGGTACTCCACCCTATATAACCGAGTTTTGAGGATAACCGCCCGATCCTTGGGTACTCCACCCTATATAACCGAGTTTTGAGGATAACCGCCCGATCCTTGGGTACTCCACCCTATATAACCGAGTTTTGAGGATAACCGCCCGATCCTTGGGTACTCCACCCTATATAACCGAGTTTTGAGGATAACCGCCCGATCCTTGGGTACTCCACCCTATATAACCGAGTTTTGAGGATAACCGCCCGATCCTTGGGTACTCCACCCTATACAACCGAGTTTTGAGGATAACCGCCCGATCCTTGGGTACTCCACCCTATACAACCGAGTTTTGAGGATAACCGCCCGATCCTTGGGTACTCCACCCGACCTATGACTTACCACATATCACACTAGATAGGGTCTATATCATATTTAGCCATTCATAACTAATCCAATACATAAAACTTATGTATCACATTCCATGCAAAGCCATGCAATTATGTAAATGTACAATAAATTAATATCGACCGGTATTAATTAATCCATTATCCACCGGTCAACGTGGTCGTTGACCGCCATTTCAAACCTTGTACAAATCAACTTAATCATCGCATAATTAAGTTAAAATATTCATTTGTGCTTCTAATACACTTCAAGCAAATATGCATTTTATATAATTCTTCATATCATATTCTATGCATAAACAATCTATTTCTTTCATACAAACTTAACCCTATTGGCTAATCACATGTTTAAATATCTTTTAAACATCATTATGAATTCATATAACATTTATTTAGGTAATCTTATAATTAACCCAAAAGTTATAAGATATTAAGCCGTCCACTCACCTTGAACTAGCGTTATGAAGTTCTACCCTTCTTGGTTGAACTCCGGTGAAACTCCGGCGACTTTTGGTCAACTCTGGCGACAACTCCGGCGACTTTTCCAACTTTGTGAAACCACTTGAAATACCCTTTACAAGTGCCTTAATTATTCACACTTTTCCCAACTTTTTCCCTCTTTAATCTTCCTTCTTGGAACCTTATGGCTTGAGCTCGAATTTTGGCTATGGAAGATGAGTTTGCAGAGGTCTCCTTGTTCTCTTGGTGTGCCTTGGCCGAAATTATGGGGTGGGTGAGTGAGGAGATAGCCTCTTTGGCTTTTCTCTCAAAATAATGTGGGAATGGGTCCTCCCCATTGTACTTTTGATGCCAAATGCATCTCCTCCTCATTTCCTCTTGTCAACCCAGCTCTCAATTGATGTGTTTAGCACATAAAAACGTGGGGTGGCCCCCACTCATGTGGGAGGTCATCCCTTTGTGTCCCGATGTGTACAATCGGTCCCGAAAGTTGTATTTTTCGGACTGTTTTAAATATATTTTATTTTATCGGGTCCAATAAAATATATTACGTGTTCTCAATCGTAATGGCCTTTTGAAATAATATGTATTCCAAAACATTAATTTAGAAGTCTCCGAAATTCATTTTCGGGCTGTTATCTGTTAAATTGTCGGTACCGGTATTTGGGCCTCTTTTGCCCAATCGGTCAACTCTGGGCCTTTTCACGACCCAAATAAAATATCCACCACTATATAAATATTATTTCGACCCATAAGAATGATTTATGTGATCTCGGGAATATCGGGTGGCCCCTCGCTCCCGGTGTGGGTCCCACGTGCAATTTACTATTCACGCGAAAGAAATAATAAAAATTTACAACTTCGTAAATTCATTAATCCTTTAATAAGGTTCAATACATTATTTACATGAACGTAAATATATTTGGGGACGGTGTTACATAAAATGTAACAATTAACTAGTTTTTTTTACTTTAAAGAGAAATGTACCAAATAACTAATATAAATATGAAAAATGTAACAATTAACTAGTTTTTTTACTTTAAAGAGAAATGTAGAGAAATGTAACAATTAACTAGTTTTTTTTACTTTTATGAGAAATGTACCAATTAACTAATACGAAAATGAGATATGTACCAATTAACTAATATTAATAAAAAAATGTAAGCAATAGAAAAAATGTATGAATGTGTATAAGTATATATAGTGATGGAGTATATGGTCAGGAACCCCCGCCCCACAGACTCCTACTTCACCTAAACAGGCCCAACGAGCCCAATAAGCACATGTAGCCCAAATACAGTGGCCCAAGCTTAAAGGAACCCGCAATACGTACAGGGATGCCCTCGGCACTATGACCGAGGGCTCAATATTCCAGGACACTCCTAATTTTATGCATGAGAAGCTACGGGAGAAAATGACAGAAAAGCAGTATCCTTCGGCCTCAGGGAGCCTTCGACCATGAAGCAGTAGCCTTCGGCCATAAGCTTTAGGCCGAGGGGTCACCACCTCATGAAGCTTCCTCCTCTGGAGACAAGCAACCACCGCATTCAATGCGGCGTCACGTCCAACCACCGCATTAAATGCGATGCACATGCAATTGCCGGTGCCACCCCGATTGAAATGACCCTCAGCCGTCGGATGTGTGACACGTGTACGCGCTTAGCATTTATGGCTGCTATATATAGCAGCCCTTATTTCCCTTGTAAACGATCCCAACATTCAGAGTTCATTTTATATATCTGACTCTCTCTCTTACTTGCTTGCTCTGACTTCTCTCTAGATTATTCCTCACAATAACCCCTCGGATAAGCTACCCCCGGGTACAGTATCCATCATATAGTATATATAATGTGTAAATATATTATAACTAATATATAATATAATGTTTATAGTATGTAATATATATATAAGTATATTACTATAAGATGAGTAACACACTTATACTTAATACTTTAATATATATATATATATATATAGAGGAATGCTCAGGTCCATCCGGAGGGACCTGAGCATTCCTCATCTATGTACTACCTAATTGTTCATCAAACATGTAATAGTATATAATGCCGCATTCTTCATCTATGTACTACCTAATTGTTTCCCTCTTATGGAGAAGTTAAGATTATTTTATATTGCCCTTTTCACACATTTTCAGTTCGCCATACCGCAAGAACCTCCTCTAGCACCGGCCTTGTACGTCTTCGGAGATTCATTGCTCGACAACGGAAACAACAATCTTCTCCCGACATTTGCTAAATCAAACTACTTTCCTTATGGAGCCGATTTTGCGGCTGGAGCCACTGGAAGATTCACAAATGGGAAAACAGTGGCTGATTTCATTGCTGAGTTTCTTGGTTTGCCATTTCCTCCTCCTTACTTGAGTTTGCAAAGATCAGTGCACATCACAGAGATGAACTATGCATCTGGATCGTGCGGTATTTTGCGCGAAACTGGCAATGATTTTGTGAGTAATCCAATCATTTTTATTAATTTATAAAAAGTTTTTGGCTAAACAATTTTGTAGCTTGATCAAAACTTCATTTTGTGTACTATTTGGCTGAGCGATGAGAGTGCTAAATCAAAAACTAAGGTGATAAATTCTTGATTTTAACGTTATTTATTTTGTTATATTTGGAGTTTGGACCAATACATCTTCAAATCAAACGTTTTTTTTTACAAAATTACATATAAAAATTAAACAATTTTAGCATTTCGAAATAAACAAAGTTTCAACACTGAATCAAATTAGAAAAAGAGAAAAGTATTTTGACTAATTTTTCCTAATATGGCATATGCAATGGCATGTATGCATAATTGCATACCATCAAACATTTTATTTTTCTTATTTGGATCCATATGTGTCTCGTCACATATTGAAAAATAATTATAATGATGATGATAAATTGAGAATTATCATGAGTTTTAGTTCTATACATGTATTTTTAGCCACATGAGTGTTTTGGAATGGGGTCATTTACTTATTTTCATATACCTCCCTTGAGGTTTTGTCATTTGACACTTTGAGGTAAAGTATGAATATATTATTAATAACCCCCTCATCCCTAAATTACCAAGGAGCTATATAAAAATAACATACATTAGTCACATCAGTTTCAATTCAAATGATTCTTTTTTAATCTCAAATGCTACATAACTTTGGGAACAAATTAAATACAATTAGTAAATTACTCTCAATATACATAACATCAACAACTAACCCACTAGATGACTAAAGTAAACAAAAAGGGCATCTAATACTTAAAAGTGCTACTTAGAGAGAGAAATTTCTCCTTCTTAATTTATTAGCATACTTATGTTCCAATAGTCAATCTAATATCTAAAAGCACTACATATGAAGGGGGGAATTCTTCCGCTGAAATTTTAGCTCGGTCATGATCTAATATGTAATCTAATCTAATGTAACACCTAAAAGCACTACACATGAGAGAGAGAAATTCTAACGCTCAATTTCTTAGCCGACTTATGGCCTAATAGGTAGGTTATGTTTGGGAGGCATAAGTCTATGCCTTCTAGCTTTTGTACTATTTACAAAGTTCTTAAAAGATCCCAGTTCTATATTTGGTATGGCAACTTTTAAGAGCTTTTCGAAAAATAAAGATCTTTTTTAAGATGCTACATGGAGTAGCATCTGAGAAAAGTCTGTTGTTTCTAGCATTAATTAGTCCAAAAACTTGTATACCAACAAAACTAAACCAAATAGTCAGCTTTTTACCTAACATCTACGACCTTTTACTTTTAAGATCTTTTCAGTCACTAAAAGTTATTTAAAAGTCTGTAAAAATTCCCCCACTCAATTTATCAGCCGGCTTGTGGCCTAATAAATTATGTAATATCTAAAAGCATTATGTATGAGAGTGAAAAATTTCCTGCTCAATTGATTAGTCGGCTTATGGCCTAAAAAGTATTCTAATACTTAGAAGCACTACGTATGAGAGAGGAAATTCTTCCGATCAATTTATTAGCAGGCTTGTGACGTAATAATTAATCTAATACCTAAAAGCACTACATTTCATTTCATTTCATTTTCATTTACCCCAGTGCCGCAAAGGCTCCCATCTACGGTGGGGTAAGGGGGGTCGGATGTACGTAGTCTTACCCCTGTACTAAAGCACATAGAGACTGTTTCCGGATGACCCATAGTGAAAACCGCAATCAAAATTGCATGGATTGACTGCTGCTTCATAACAAAGAAGCGCAGACAGTTTAGTGAGCCACTTTGCTTTATTCCATCATATTCTCAAGCCAAAAAATAATGAATCATTGGCTCCATTGCAAATGATGGAAATACCTAAAAGCACTACATATGAGAGAAAATTCTCTCGCTCAATTTTTAGTCGGTTCATGGTCTAATATGTAATAGAATCTAATTTTTAAAATCACTACGCATTTAGAAATTATTAAAGCACTACCCAGTCAAGTTTTAGCTGGCTTATAGCCTAATAAGTATTCTAATATGTAAAAGCACTATGTATGAGTGAAAAAATTGTGCCGCTCAATTGTTAATTGGTTTTAGGTGTGAGTGAGAAAATTGAGCGCAAAAAAGTTTCTCGCTCATGCGGAGTGCTTTTAAGTATTAGATTAGATTAGATTACATATTAGACCATGAGCTGCCTAAAAATTGAGCGAAAGAATTTTTTTCTCATATGTAGTGCTTTTAAGTATAAGAGTAATTACTAATTATTATGGCATAAGACTGCTAATAAGTTAAGCATCGGAAAAATTTCCCCTCTCATACGTGGTGCTTTTAGGTATTAGAAGCCATTTTTGCTTTCCTTAAACATCTAGTGGGTTAGTTGTTGATGTTATGTACTTATGTATATTCCATTGATTTACTAATTCCAACAGAAACAGTGGCATGGCATTAAAACTTTTGTGACTAATCTAGGTTATTTTTAAATGGATACTAATTTAAGGAGGAGGGGGTTATCAATAATATATTGATACTTTGTTTCAAAGTGTCAAATACCAAAACCTCAAGGGAGGTATATGAAAATAACCCTTTAGAATGCCTTAGACTTCATACCCTAACCATATGTGTCTAGTAGTTTCTTGATTTTAGCATTTTGCCTTTTCTTTTGTTATCTTTAGACCAAAATGTCATTAAACATTTTATTTTTTTCCTTCCAATTTTTTGCAAAAATAAAAAAAACATATAAAAACTTAGTACCCCCTTCATCCCCTTTTAGTCATTACACAATATATAAGATCTTCTCAAACATGATTTAAATAATTTTTTAAACCAAAAACATCTCCATACAGTAAATTGAAATCATATATCAAATGCAATTTTTTTTATGGTGCAAATAGTTCGGATTATGAAAGGACACTCGACTCTTAGAGGTCTCTAATGCTATTATTACCCTTTACGTTTAAGAAATTGCCCAATATGAATACAAGCATTTGTGAATTCAAAATAGAACCACCATCTTTTATCTAAATCTAAAATCTTATAATGGCCAATGGGGGTTAATACCCTTATGGGAATAAAAATGTGTTGGTGTAATAGTGTAGCTATATAGAGTTGTACATTATTCTAAAGGCATAGTACCGCTCTTATTTCTTCGTTGCTCTTTGCCCGCAGCTTCCGTTAAGCTAAACCCCGATTCGTTAAATTCATAGTGGCGCACCATCCCATCCTTGTTTAACTTCACGTCTCCGTCTTTGCTTCACTTCCACTTCGTATCAATTCCATTCATTCACAAACATGATACAACCTTATCTCTTCCTGCACTCAACATCCAGCATCCCTTAGGGTTAATTAGATGGGATAAGGAAGGCTTAGCTTACGGATTTTTAGAGAGATGGGTTCGTCGCGAACTCAAGGTTCCTGACCGCCGTCGCATGCTATGGGGCTTGTTTTCTCTATACATAATACATTGGATAGTGACTGTGGTGATGTTCACAACAACTCCTGCCATATCAAGTGTGATTTTATTTAATCCCCGACAATTCAATAATTGCAACCACTAAAGTCAATTGAAGTGGGCCTTAATGTAATTGACCAGGAATTGGATTAAAAAATCAAGTGGATCCTTTCAGGTATCCAAACTTATTAGTGAGCTAGCAGCAGTTGCAGCTGCAGAGAAAGGAATACTCCTTAAAGAAGCTATGGAGGATACGATATGTGCCTACTCACGGGTAGTTGCCCGATTCCCAGCATCAGTCAAGGAGGTAGGAAATGCTTGTCAGTCTTGGGGGATATCAACATAACCACCTCTGATGGGCTAACAACTTTGTACTTTTTGTTGGTGTTCATTTCTTCCTGTAGTTACAAATTCCAATGGAGGAATGGCCGGTTCTATTCGCTCTCACAGAAAGCACTTGCAGCCGGAAAGTCTGGTCTGTGTGCATTGCATACCGCATGGCTCAATGATATACACCCTGATTTGCTTCTATCTCCCCCAATCCGTTTCTGTTTTAGTGTCTATGTTATTCGCTTCTATTTTCCATGTTTTGAAAAAGAGAAAGATACGGAGTATATGGATATAACTTAAATATTCATAAAGTGGTCCGCAAAGTGGCTACTGAGTATGTCCACAAAGTGACTGTATTAAGAAAAGCGGGTATTGTAAATACAATTTCTCTTTGGAAAAACACCACCCTTTTTAAAGTATAGGTGCAAATGTTTATTCCTAACCTTAAATGAACAAGTTAAAAAAGTCCTTGGTCCACATATTTGATGGTAAATAATGAATTTTGGTGAATAGAAGCGAGCACGTCAAAAAAATAATAGGAACGTATTTTTAACAAGTGTAATGCATTGGGAACAAATTCAATCGCTCAAAATACTAGATATGTATTTTTAACAAAAGTAATGCATTGGGCACTTATTCAATCGCGCAACGCGCGTGTTAAAACTAGCTCTTTAGATAAGAGTAGTGTCATGTTTGTCATTACCAAACTTTAAACATGACATTAGTATTTTCTAAGTTTAGCATTAATACTCCTATTTAGGGAATAAAAAATGACAACCTATTTTGAAATTCCAAAACGTTTTAGTCATATTAAGAGAACTTTCCATTTATGTACTCAATTGGGCAGGTTACGATCCCAGATCAGACCAAACTTAAACAACACAGACCAAAGAAGATGAGATCAGAAAATTTCAATCTTATTAAAATCATCCTTATAATTTACTAAAGCAATTGTTTTCTTTGCCAATACTTGAATAAATAAGTATAAAAATCTAAAGTTAGGTTTACATAATTAGAAATTATATTGAAAATTCAACTCATTTACGAAAATTTGATCACCACACTTACTTTGAAAAAACAAACTATGATACCTCTGCTGTAGCAAGTCTAGCAAAAGACTTTGATCCCGTAATGTGTTGCTCTTGATTCTTTAATTGACTCTCTTTCTTTACTTTGGACATTGCCTAATAATTTTTAATTGACAAATATAAAAATAATCATCAAGAACTAAGTGAAAGTAATATATAACGTTATATTTGACTTTTCTTTATCAATGATAGTGAACTCTGAAAAATAATTTTAATAATTATATTCGTTTGATTTATAAATTGTATACTATGTAGTACTATCCTCCGTATCATAATAGTTGCAACATTGGAATTTACACACTATTCATGTACTCTACTTTGACTACATTTTATTTATTAATGTATGTGAATTATTAGTTTTGAAAAATATTGTTAAATTCATCTCATTACAAAGTTTCATAATCTGATTTTTAAAAGTTTTTTACTAATAGATAATTAAATATAATGACAGTCAAAGTTGTGCATCGGCAAGTGTGAAAAAGGAATGTTGCAACTAATTAAGAATGGAGGAAGTATTAATTATGAAAATATTTTTAACAAAAAGTATTTCCGTATAAATTTTGTATTATAAATAATTTTATATTAATAAGGCTTAAATATGGTTTTAATCCCTGCAAATATGAAACACTTTGTTTTAGGTCCATACATTTTTGTTTGTTTTTCATCACTGTAATATGCACTATTTTGTTTTTAGTCCATCTCTAACTCCGAAATCATTCTACGTAGAAGTGTTTAATATGATGCTAATATGAGAGTTAAAAAATGTAAAACTAATTATTCACATTTAAAAATATATATTAAAAACTTTCTAAAAATTAAAATTAAATACTTTTGTGAATAACATGACAAAGAATTAGAGTAAACCTATTAGAGGTTATTTTGAGGTCAAACGGAGGTTGTCAACATCGGCGATGGAATACTAAAAAGAAAATCAACATAAATTACAGAGAAGAAAAACAAAAACAATTATAAGGAGATGTAAAACAAAATGCACTATATTTGGAGTGACTAAAAACTTTGATAAAATGTACTATGTTCAAAATTGACCATCATTGATAAAAATCAATATGGCCAAGTTTTGTGGGAAAGAGGGAGTACTAATCAAAATCATTGTTCAATGTTTACCATCATTGAATAGAAAACTCAAATATAAAAATGACAAAGTTTCAAGGGGCGGTACCTAGTAAAATATTAGCACACACATGACATGTATTGCAGGGAAAAAGTTTGAGTATATCAGAACAAGTTGACATGTTCAACCAAAGAATGGGGATGCAACTATCAAGATACTACAAGAGCACAAAGGAGCTTTCAGATTACTTGTCAAACTCCATTTTCCTCATTGCTATAGGGAGTAACGACTACATTAACAACTACCTTCTTTCTAGCATTTATGATACCAGTAGAAGTCACACTCCTCGAAACTTCGCTGAACTTCTTGTCAATACACTCTCAATTCAATTCCAGGTAACTTAGAATGTACCCTTTTAATCGAGCTTGGGCTCTTTTGGTAGTTTTCATGATAAAATCTTATTGCATAGAAAGTTTTGGGAAACAATCATTTTACATTTAAAATAAAAATAAATTGTTTGGACATGTATGTAATTTATTATTACACGCAATGTGAATGCAATGCTTTATTAGAATCATGAAAAGTATTCTACTAACTTTCCCTCACGTAAAATATTTTACATGGTACATTACAATATTTTAAAAAGCGTATTTCAATTGGCTTAAATAATCAAACCAAACGGTGTAAACCGTTCACAAAATCTTATATTTTACATGCAAAATAACTATTTTACATCATACAAAACGGTCTCCTATATGGAGGATGGAAGGTGTAACTTTATGTTTAATAACCCCGCGGTAAGCAGAAGCTATATGGATTAGGAGCAAGAAAAATTGTGGTATTTGAGATTGGGCCAATTGGTTGCCTTCCCTTGTTCAAGCGCCGAAATGAGGGATGTGGTGATGAGTACAACCAGCTTGTAGTGATGTTTAACGAGCAGCTTGAAGCCATGTTGAAAAACTTGAGCACAACTCTCCAAGATTCCCAATTTATACTCGGTCGTGCTCACTGGCTTGGCTATGACGCCATCAAAACTCCTTCTACATACGGTAAATATAAATTAATCTCAATTCTTGTATTACATATTTGTTTGTGAATGGAAAAATGATAACATGTGGTTATATTCATTTTAGTATAATAAATTGAAGCTTATTTATAATGAGCATATACTTTTGAGTTTTGACACATAATGGTAGGGAGATATATCTTCAAATTGCTACACAAATAAGAGCAACCTAATCAATCCACTTTAAACAATTGATAAGTTAGAGTGAAATGATTCAAGTGATTGAATTTACTAAAATTGTTGAGTCATATGACTAAGCTAACTCAAGAGCATTTTAAATTTTTTAAATGTGCATTTGTATTATACCTTCTCAACAAAATAACATAATAACGTTAGGCGAGTCATTTTCTGTTCATGTCAACTATTCAAACAAAATGGGAAACTGATTTTAATATACTTTGAGACTAACGACATGTATGCAAAAAAATAAAGAAGAAGAAGTGATATTCATCAATTTTTGACTTAAAAAGCTGATAATAGTGTTTTTAAGTGATAACCTCTACTTAAATTGAACTAATGACTTTTGAGTTCACATGTATAGGTTTGATAGATCCAAGTAATCCTTGTTGCACAACATGGAGGCAGGGGGCTTCAGGATGCATACCAGAAATGAAGCCGTGTCCTGATGTCGACAAACACTATTTCTGGGATGCCTATCATCCCACAGAAGCTTTTTATAGGACCTTTGCGACGATGTGTATCAATGGTACATCTGTTTGCCTTCCAAAGAACATAAATGATCTTGTTCGTGCCTGAAACTCACTCTCGTGGAATCTTTTTCGATCAAAAGACCAAAAGTTTTTGCATGTATAGTATAAATGTGAATGTCTTTTTATATATCTATATATAGGAGTATACATATTGGTTGAATCAATGAGTTGAATTTGCTTCCCTTTTATTTCCATTCTCAGAGATCTGTGGACCATTCATCTTTTACCTCCTCCCGGATGAGTGACAATGCTTTACTAGGAGAGTATTCAAACCTTTCTCTTGATAATATATAAAGAGACAAAAAGTACCTCAACAACATCCTACTTGTCTCAACCAAGAAAATTTTGCATGATCCAACTCCCAAATCCTCATGCTTTGAGTGGTACTCTAAAGACATTCTTCTAACCGTAAGCATACATTTTTGTGTGCCTCAACAAATATGTAGACATCTCATAAAACTGTGGAACCTTGATGATATATATCTAATCGATGCATCTTCGATCAAATCAACTGGAGAAAGAGTTTCCAAATACAGCCTTGTAGCACAATATGCCATCTTAGATGAGCAAAGATTCACATTACGATGTATTAACCACTTCAAGTACAGAGTCATGTACTTCTATGGGTTACAACTTTTAATGAATAGATATTACTAATGGCTATAACTTTAAGTGAATTTTCTTTCTTGTGAATAACCGTGACCATTTTCCTTTGCTATTTAAACCATCGCACCAAGTCTAATATCTAACCGGTGGAGTAAGGGGGTCGAATGTAAGCAACCTTATCCCTATACTAAATATAGAGAGTCTGTTTCCGAGTGACACATGATTAAAATTGCGTTGAAAATTACATGAACTAACGACTGTTTCATAACAAAGAAGCGCAAACTGTTCAGTAAACCATTTTGCTTTACTCCATCATGCTCCCAAGCCAAAAAATAGTGATTGGCTCCAATGAAAATGAGGAAAAATCACATATGAGGTATCAAATATTGATCCACATATTTTCAAAACTAAATAATTCACTTAAATGCCTCAAACACTAGAATTCTAGATATTTGGAATCTCTCATAATTAATTAGCTACTCTCCCTAATATTTAAGAACACAGTGCTCAGTATTCAAATCACAATCCAATACAAGAATTCACATCATCGGCTAGGAAAATTTACTCATGCACACTGAATACCACACACACACCAAGTAGTGTTTTTTAAGTGAAAAATGATCGATAAATGAAACATCAAACTCTGTTTGTTGAAATATTGCCAATTGAGTACTTCTCTTGAAAATCATAGATTTTTTCTTATTGCTTACGAGAGCTTAGAAAATTAGATTAGATATGAAAGTGGCCGCGCGTGTCGGAAAACTTCATCTTCGGGTGTTGTTGCCGCTGCGCCGTTCTGTAATCATTGTAAATTATATTATTATTTTTAAATATTATATTTTGTTTTACATCAAAGACTTCTAAGAGACCAGGATCATTAGAAATTTGCATCATCATCTTATTATTCTTTCTGATGCATGGTCAAGTAGTTACTCATTTACTCAGTATTTGTTTTTTGACAAAGTATAACAACAAATACACCACTGCCCAATTCAAATAATTATTGTGTGAGACATGTTTATAGTTGAATTTGTTTTGAATTTTACTAAAAGCAAGGTAGAAAACAAGAAGTGATAACTTTTACATTTTAAATGTGACTAGTAGGTACCAATGTGTCACTTTTTATTAAAGTTCCAATTTAATTAGCAAACAAGAAATCACCCTAAATATGAGTAAAAATTTTTGTGAATTTGAAAATAAGATTACTACACCGCCTAAATAAAAGTAATTAATTCCATCTTTTGACATTATCGGGTTTTAAGTATGGAAGTATTTTCCATTGTTGACAGTAATTACTTCTATTTAGACAATGAAAACATAAACTCATATTTAGAATTACAAAAAAAATTACTCTTATTTCAGGAGTTTGGCCTTAACATACAGGGTAATTATCTTGATAGGAGTAAAACATTGAATATGTGCAAAAATAGGAGTTCAATGTTTAATACTCCAGAATAGGAGTAAAATTGTATTGACCGACTAAAATACCCTTAATGAAATTCCAGACTTATTTACAATTAAAAAATAGAAAAATATGTTAATAACACATCAAAACCCTAGCTGCCTGTTATCTATTCTTCATCGGCTGTACAGTGACGATACCGCCACCTCCGTCCGGCGATACCGCCGCCTCCGACCGGCGAGTCTGCCGTCGTCGAAGTCCAGAAAAACCACAATCACAAGCATCTGACGAGTCCGTCCCCTCCAGGGACCCATTGCCATCAACTCCACGCTCCCGCCACCTTCAGGGACTTGCCACCGCCGACATCTGCCGCCGTTGAGCTCCGGTGAATGTTCATCTACAGTCGCCTCCCTCCGACAAGGGTTCACCACTTTGACCGTCTCTTCCGGCAACATTGCCATCTTGATAAAAATGACATTATATATCCTATTAATTAAAAATGGCATTTAAGTATAAGAAAACATGGCATTTGTAGATCTAAAAATATGACATTTACAAATAAAAAATATGGCATATTCAGATAAAAATGGCATTTCATATGATAAGATGGCAGTTTAATAATAAAAATGATGGAACTAATTTTTTTATATATTGCCATCTTGATATAGTCATGCTATAAAAATAGTATTATTTGTCAAAGTGACATTTTCTTATTATATAAGATGACACTATACTAATGTTTTTGCCATCTTGATAAAGGGAAGGACAAAAAAATGATATTTGTTCCAACTTCCATTTTCAAAAAAAGTAAAGTTATTTTTTAAAATAAATTAGTAGGAATAGAAAAAATAAAAATAAAAACTGAATTAAAAATTGAAATCTGAAATTCGCAGATTTCAAATAATTGAAATAATTTTCAATCTAAAATTTGCAGATCTCAAATAGTCCTTATAATTTTCAATCTAAATCAAGAGAAAAAGATAAGAGAGGAGGGAGAAGAAGATGGAGTAGAAGATGGAGAAGAAGAAGAATCAGGAGAAGAAAGCTCACCTAGGCGTCCAGCTCCGCCACCTAGCTCCGCCGCCGTACAGTACGTTGTGCCGCCTCTATTTTTTGACCGGGATGTGCTCCACCTCCGACGAAAACTTTAAAAGCACATGAACGAGTTGCTCTGCTTATGTGCTCTTCTAATTTGAAAAGGAGAGAATGGAAGCATCGAGCATATGAGATACGACCATTAAATTATAGGAGGGTAAGTGTGTCTAGTCATATTAAAAACACTCATATTTAAGTAATAAAAAACAAGGGCTCCTATTTGGAAATATGGGCCTTGTTTTACTCCTATCTTGGACCATTTCTCTTAACATACTTTAAAAGTATATTAGTCCAAGTAATGGACAAGCCTATCAGGCCTAATGCCTTGAGTGTGTGATCACCCTACTCAAGGTACCATTGATAGAGTCACTCCCTATGCAACCCTCCACCTCAGTATCTATGTGCATCTCATATCGCTGCCTAACCCTTTGCTAGTAATTCTAACCCACAATGACACTTGATATCTTGATTTCAGTGTCTCATCATTTGGACCCCGAGTGAAGTAGTGAATTGCTATCATATAAAACATAGAAAAACCTTATAATTTTCGCATGTTATCATGACATACTATTACACCATTGCTCCATAGCACTCAACAGATTAATATAGTAAATTAAAACCACTTGTGAACAACAACATAACAGAGAAAATAATGCAAGACCAACCTATTGGTAAATAACAAACTTATTTGAGCTTGTTAATACTTCAATTCCGATAATACACATTCCCACAAAATAACAACTTAGTTTATCAGAATTGTCAAAATTTGGAATATCTAGATTGAGAATCTTGGGAGGCAAGATTGAGGAAAATTTTGACTTTGGAATGTTTGGATCATTGGATGTTCTAAACATGATGGCATCCCATCTTCATGGCCTTGAACCAATTGAATGAATGATATAAATTAAATTTCAATCACAAATCATACTTTAACAGATTAAATCAGATCAAATTTGAACAGTTATAAAATAATAGATACCACATCATCCACGAGACTAGTAAATTTCATTTAAAAAAAATTTATTTCAAAAGAAAACATAGTAAATCTTGGTTTCAAGTTGAATTTATCAATTTAGGACCTCTTCCGACCAAGTGGATCATTGACAATAGGTTCGTTAAATTAGTTGGACACTTTGTCGACGTCGGGTTGCTCCTATCTAGGTTTCCACTGTTCATTCTCCGGTCAAACCCCGACGACCTTACTTGTTCCCGTTGCTTAATTGCTCCATTATGACGTCGTCATTCATGGGTCCTCCTCCTTCCAGAGACTTTGCCACCACTGCTGAACCTCCGACAGTTCCAGAAGATCCAGCCTTAGAACCGTCGCAAAGTGAGCCCAGTCCACCTTCAGAAAACCTAAACCCTATTGTAGAAAAATCGGAATTGAGGAACACTGGTAGTTCCCCGAACGATTCCGAAGATGAAAATCCCGTCCCGAGCTCTAGCAATAGCTCTGTTTCTGAGAATGATCGCGATGAGGCAGAGAAGAAACACGAGCCGCGCTCTAAACCTGAAGTGCCGTATACAATTCCTATATGGAGTGAACCTCCGTGCCATAGCTATTACCTGGAAGTTCTTAAGGAAGGATCAATCATTGATCAACTCGACGTGTAAGGGCGCTTCATATGTCAGTTATGTTCAGTTAACAGTAGTTCCTTCAACTTTGATGATTCTAATTTCCTACGGGTACATCTGAAATTAACAAATTTACTGCAGTCGGACATGTTTGCTACCATTTCGCAGCTCATAGAAAAATATTCATATTCATCTAAGACAGTTTGATTTCTCTTAGGCTGAAAGGCTATAGTAAAATAATACTACCCCGTCCCATTTTATGCGTCTCATTTGGTTTTGACACAATTTTTTAAGTATAATAAAGTGGAATGTTGTGAACCACATATTTCTTTCCAAAAAGGGAAAGGCGACACTTATTTTGGGACAACCCAAAAAGGAAAGTAAGACAAGTAAAATGAGATGGAGGGAGTAATAGGGAGTTTGTATTCCACGTGTGAAATCTTACCATCAATGTTGTAGATCAATTGTTTTTTTCAAGTTTCATGCATATTTTTTTTTTCGATGGAGGGAGTAATAGGGAGTTTGTATTCCAGGTGTGAAATCTTACCATCAATGTTGTCGATCAATTGTTTTTTTCAAGTTTCATGCATATTTTTTTTTCTTATTTCATGCACACCCTCACCTTTCTTGCTTGACTCCTTGATTTTTCTCAATTCATACACTACAATCTGTTCTAAATACAATGCCTTTTATTTTTTGGATTTCACGAAGCTTTCATTTTCTGTTCTATTTTTCCACCAAGGTTAGCAGTTATTTCAAAACATCAGCTTATCTGAAACGTTATTGCCATTCACATTTCATTAAGTGGCTTTTCGTTTGTTCTTACTTTCTGTTTTTGGTGTGATTTGCTTCCAGAAACAAGAAGGGGGCTTACATGTTTGGACGTGTGGATCTTTGTGATTTTGTCCTCGAGCATCCCACAATATCTAGATTTCATGCTGGTATGAATCCTAACACCATACATATTTTTGCTAAAAAAATATTTTTCCTTTTTTCTGTTTTTGTTGTTGGAAAAATTGTTGGCCTTTCCATATAATGGCTCTGTAAGCAAGTTATGGTTCTGGCTGACCTGATATCAGGTCTACATAAGTACAAGTAAATACTTAGTGCCTGACAATTTTACTAACACTTGGGACTGACAAGTGACAACTTATGAAATAGTATTCAACTTGTGAATATTCATTCCTCCCAGGCTCCAATCACAGTTTACCAACATCGGTACTATCTTGACTATTATAATTTGGACTGTCACTTATCACTAATAATACTTTTACTTCAATGCTGTTTATTTGATATTACCACCCGCAGGATTCATATCAAGTATCGTTTGGTTTACCTTATTCTTTCATAACATGTATCACTTCATAAAACATAAAGCAAGAGGGCATTTAACACGGAGTAGTTATTACACTTTTCCCTTCTCCTTCATCATAATTTTCAATTAAAGTAACTACTTAAGTTCTAATATATGGATATTCCAGGATGATTTATCAAGGATAGCTGGATAGTTTTAGGTATAAATCTATTCTCTTGCAAAAATGTAGGATATCCAATGGTTTTCTTTATTTGTATGCATTACATTTAAGAAACACTGGATATGAAGTTGAGGGAGTATTACACTTGCCCACATATGTTCAGTAATAGAGAATTAGGGAGATAGTCATATGTTCTCGTGGTAGTTGAAGATGACATGGTTCTTCTAACCCCATCTTTCAGTATAATTTTTTTTTATGTCTGATCAAATCATTCATGTGTTTGTTTATGTACACCCATCTTTTCAGTTTTGCAGTTCAAGGGCAGTGGAGATGCTTACCTATATGATTTAGGCAGTACGCATGGGACGTTTATAAACAAAAACCAGGTTTTTGCTTTGATGCCTAGATCAAACCTTTAGTAGTTTCATGTGAAAAGGTTTTAGTAGTGTTTTTCAGATTGTCACATCTTATGTTTACAGAACTGCAAGCACAAATGTATACTTCTATGTAAGAAAGTTCAAAGTACTGATATTCAGAGTGCTCTTTCCATGTGCTTAGTTGATGCACAGGGTCTCTATTGAAGAATTTGTAAAACTAGAGTCATTAAAGGGTTGTTTTGTTCAAAGGGAGGGGAGGGACTCAGGGAAGATTCTCTTCTCTTCTTATTTGGTTAAAAAATAAGGAGGAAGGGGGAGCTTACCTTTCTTCTCCCCCATCCCTGTTTTCCCTTCTTCCCAAATCAGAGGAATGCTCTCTTCCCCTCAAACCAACCCACCCTAAGAGTGCCAATTTAGCATGATATTATGCATGACAACAAATAACTTTCCCATTTCATAAACATGTATTAGTAGTGTATAAACTTTATCTCTTTTCAGCCATATTATGTGGTTCTATTTACCATTTATTTACTGATTATTTTTCTGAGCATGCTTGGGTCCATCTACTAGCTATCCTGTAAAGTGCTAACAGCACCGTTCATTATCTCATATGGAGTGTATCTTTATTTATGCACTTGATAAAAGTATTGTCTGATGACTGTACACTATTACATAGGTTAAAAAAAGGGCTTACATGGAGCTGCATGTTGGCGATGTAATCCGGTTTGGACAGTAAGTACTGACCTGAAACTTATTTTCTTTGTTTTTTTTTTCATAATTTTATGTGCTCTCCATACAGGATACCTATATAATTTGAGGATATTGTTTGTGGCGGCATAAGCTTGACTACCTAATGTATGATGCAACTGTGAACTATGCATTTGTGTTGGCTAAAAAATTTGAAGTGTATGGTTGTGGTTGATGTGAAAAGGAGAGAAGCAATACCCAACACATAAATCTTTCCTTGAAAGAAAATAAGAAGAAAATTTTGGGACTTTCGGAAAAGGAAAATTGGAAGAAAATTTTGGGACATACCAAAAAGGAAAGTTGGAAGAAAATAATGGGACCTAAATTATGTGCAGTTCTATACACAAGCCATTTTCATCCATTCCTATATTATCTCCCTTTAAAGAAAGAATTGTGTGGTTGATATTGTTTCTTTCCTTTCTAAATAGCTCTCAAACATATAACCTCATTTTCTTAATATGCGTGCCAAAAGCAAGGGTGAAGATGTTCTAAGGGACGGAGGGAGTAAAATTTAGATGATTATAATTGAGCTATAATCTTCTTTTCTAAATGTTACTTTTTACACATTCGAACTTTGACCTGGTATTAATAATTATGCATGGGTTGTTTCTCACTCTAAGATGCATTTAAAAATTATTTTCATTTAAATAAAAGATAAAAGATGGCTTAATTACCCCCAAACTAATTCAGAATTTGGGGCACATTCACGCCTAACAAAAATGTGAGCCATCTGACACACTGACACTCAACTTGTGCTAGTTTCTGACTATCTGCTTATTTTTTTTTTCCAGAAACCGG